CCAGTATTTATAGAGAGACAGCAGCTCCGATCACACACTGCTTGCACCGGCACGAAGCCTAAAGCACCAGCCTGAGGATGGCGAGTGGGACCTCGCCGAAACGTCACCAAGATACTCTTAATCTTACATGGGAAAAGACCCAAACACACCTAGAGCTACATACCTGTACCTGTGAAAAACTACAAATATATATATAGTAGCTCACATTACTCTGAGAAGCACAAAGTCAAAGACACAAGCCTGAAGATGATGAATGAGACTTCATTGAAACGTCGCCTAGATACTTCCAATTTTACACAGGAGAAAACCTGAATAACCAAAGATCCACATACAAATACCCGTGAAAACCTCAGAATATATATATACCACAAATGTGTGGTAACAAAGAGATTTGATTTAAATTAGTGACTAAACCTGGCAAGGCTGTCATCAAATAAACATATTTTTGTCCCTGATAACAGCCTGCTTTCACTTCAGGGACATTTAGAGAAAACATCTTCTGAAGATGTTATCACTTGCTAGATTCATACAGGAGTGACTACTTTTTTAAATATCAAGGTCCCCAATCTACTTTATGAGGAACTTGAAAAGTCGGTGCTTTGTATTTTGGCTTGGAAAAAGTGCCAAGTCACCAGCTATTAGAGCCGTAGTGGCATAGTGGTTAGAATGCAGTATTGCCGGCTACTTCTGCTGACTGCTGGCTGCCCTCACCAGACTCAAGGTTTAGTCATCCTTCCATCCTTCTGAGGTGGGTAAAATGAGGACCCAGATTGTTGGGGGCAATATGCTGACTCTGTACACTGTTTAGAGAGGGCTGTGAAGCAGTATATAAGTCGAAGTGCTATTGCTATTATTATTAAGATTTCTAGGCATCTGAAATGTTTATATCCCCCCCCCCTCAAACCTGCTTGCTGCTCCAATCACCAATACTGAACCTGAATTAAATTAGCAGGCCTGTTTACTTCTGTCTATAATATGACCAGGGCATTATCTTGCCTTGTCTCCAGACAGAGAAAATGTGTGTATTTTGTGCTTTTCCCATTTTGCACAGTTGAAAAGAAGCAAGGATGGAACAAGTTTTAGGAAGCCTTTGTTCAAAAATTCCTTAAAAGAAATGCTTTGAATTATGTAATTATATACAATGAAAAGTTGAATCACAGTGGATGACATAGGTCAGAAGCCCAATGGTTTTCTGTTCACACATTTTGTTTAAACACTCCTGGTTTCAAAGAAAAGGAAACTCCAAAAGGTGACTGGAATGGATGGAATGAATTGTAATGCTTCTTGTATTGCACTTTCCTTGAAATCAAAGGTCCACAGGCTAAAGTTGCTTTTTGCTCCAGCAATGTCATTTGTAGGAATCCTAGGTGTCTTGGTGACCTTGAACACATTTTACCACTTTTGATTAATTCCCCAGTTGCAGCCATAAGCAGGTGGGAAGAGTCACTGTCGTGTATGGTATGTTAGATTGTTTTTAAAAATGACCCTGAATATTCATGTAATTGCTGGAATCTTCTCTGGTTGAATTGTTTATCTTTCACCCATTCTAACATAATGAGATTGCTTCTTGCCTTAGTTTAGGGGTGCTTCCCCCAATCTTGAAATAGTCTGCTGTTCTGTCTCACCTGTGACCATGAGGCGAGAGTCCAAGCTTCCAAAGGAATATAAATAAACAGAAAGGTCCAGGAACGATACAGTTAAATTCCTTTGACTGGAGAAGTCCTTGGCAGTCTTCCAGAAGCTGCCTGCCAAGTCCGATAACAAACAAGACCATAAATCAAAGGGCAAACGCAGCACAGAGAATTTGTCAAGCTGCTATTCCGAATAAACAAATTGTCCCGAACGAGGATTCAGAGCTAACACGCCCTCTTTTATTTCCTGAGGGGCGTGTCGGTCTCTCAAGTCAGTCCCTGATTTGACATTTCCTTTTACGTTGCATTTCACGCTTCTGCCTGCGTCTTTGCCTTGCATCAAACCAGCATTCCTCGGCTTGATCCTCAGCCAAGGACTCCGGCACTCTCTCCTGATTATCTGCCGACACCTGAGGCACAACCAGGGAGGAAGGGGAGGAAGATGATTCCGAATCTTCCAGCAAAGCAGGCTCAAATCTCAAGGCCAAATCCTCCTCTTCCTCATTACTCGAGCCTGTGTCTTCTAACAGAGGAGGCTCAAACCTCCGAGTCACAACAGTCTGCAGTCCAGATCCCTACAGGAACATACTCAATGTCTATAGAGATTCTCAGTCATCCAAGTCATGATTGTCCCAAAGGTGGTTTTCTTCAAAAGGCAACTGGACTTTGTTTTTCCTTGAAGACTTTTCACTTCTCATCCAAGAAGCTTATTCAGGTCTGACTGAATGGTTCAGAATGGAAGGCTTTATATTCCTTGCAGTCATCTGGTCATTAGCATTCTTTCTGAGAACCACTGAGACCACTTGGGGGTATATCTATGCCCTCAGGGTCACTTGAATAGGCAAAGAAAAGTCCAGTTGCCTTTTGAAAAAGCACCTTTAAGGAACAAAGCACCTTCTACTTGTCTGCTCATAGCTTAACAACTTCTGACAAGATTCTTCTCTGAGTCCCCATTAATATCATGCATTACACCAGAATATTCTATTCTAAATATAATTTTATCAGTGGCAAGTTCAAAACTTCTCATTTGCTACAGCATTTTGTCATTTTTAGACCTTCATTCTGTCTTTTGTTATGCCTAATAGTTTCACTCCACATTTTGGTTATCTATTCTTTCTACTATCTAGTATTCAATGTAAGTGAATACTTCTAGTGCCACTTTGACACTTTATAATTAAGAAATATTTCAAACATAGCATCTTTTTGCCAGTAGAACCAAAGACTTAATTCATGGGTGTCTTTTTTTTTTTTTGCTTGAAGGAGAAAGATGAGGCATGAGTGAAGCTCTGCTGATTATGCTGGTGTTTTTATAGGAGCATCAGCAGAATTAATTGTCCTGGGTTACAAGTGGGTCATTTAATTTGTTGAAGTGGATCAATATTAGACTATTGAACTCGGGTCTATAATACTCTGCCTAGCACATCAGGGCTAATATATACCAAGGTCTGAACTTTTCAGTGCAGTTTAAAATTCTCTCTCTCTCTCTCTCTCTCTCTCTCTCTCTCTCTCTCTCTCCCCTCTCCCCTCTCCCCTCTCCCCTCTATCTATCTATCTATCTATCTATCTATCTATCTATCTATCTATCT